AGAGAGAGAGAGAGAGAGAGAGAGAGAGAGAGAGAGAGAGAGAGAGAGAGAGAGGTGAATAAATATACGTATGTAGAATGGCATGATGGATGCCTTAGGCATCCTTTTCTGTGAATGATTGGGAGGATGCAATGCATAGTGTATTAGCTTTGTGGCAAAATGGCAGAAGCTCAAGGAGCCATCTAAGAAGAGCTAATGTCATTCCACAAGTCCACCTTCTCTGGATGCTGTTTGATTTATATCTTTTGACAAATGCAGCTCAGATTTTTCGCACTGTCATCGTTTGTTTTCTGATCACGCTATATATAAGGTGGCTCAACATTTTTCCACCTTCATTGATTGGTTTTTAATACTTTTTAAAGTTTTTATTAGTTTTTATAACTTTTTTTATTTTTATTTTTTTTTTAGACTTTTTGTTTTGTTTGAATTGATTGTTTTTAATTTAGAAGTGCATATGGATTGTTTTGTTTTATTTTAATAATTGCACTGCATATTCATTTTAATTCTGACACTAAAAATCATGAAAGAAAGCGTAGATTTGCCGGTTCATCCCTATATATATACCCTGTTCCCCCACATGCAACGCACTGGTCATCATGACTGTACCAGAGCAGGAAAACAGCTTGTATACATTCATGATCAGGGTGCATTGTATTCGGAACAAGATGGCGGTGCCTGCCTTTGATGTGCATTTTTTTAACAACCGTGTTTACCCGAGTAGAACTCCCGGTCATTATTTTGCTGTATCTAGACCGCAAGCTGGCCCAAATTACAGCCATAACGACCGGGTGTTCTATTTGGGCGAAGACGATAGCTATAGCAGACTACGACACGCACACGCTGTTAATATACCGACTTCAGCCGAAAATTACCTACGGTCATTATGGCTGAATCGAGACTGAAAGTTGCTCTGAATACGGTTACGATGAACACTCTTTTCCGGGGTAGTCTCAGGGTCATTACAGCTGATTCTAGACCGAAAGTTGCCCCAATTTTTTTTTTCGGGGTAGAGAAGTAAAGATGGCCCATGAAAAAGAAACCTGAAATTTTACGCCTCTGTTAACCTTCTCCCGACCGCGCCAGTTGGTTGTACTGTGTACTGAGCTGAGTTTGTGTGTAGAGTGGGGTTTTATGGCTATGATGGACTTAGGGCCTCGCCGCACTAGTCTTGAAAATGGGTTTTCTAGAGTTTGGGCATGATGGCCATACAGCCTCTAGAAAGAGGCAGAACCTGAGAAACAAACTTACGAAAAAAGAGGCTTGGTGATAATAAAAGTTGACCCCTTTTTATACCTTTCTCGGTCTTTTGGGTAAAAATAGATCAAGTGCAGTGTATCTGTTCTGAACTTCTGATCAGTTAATACCTGATCCACGGTCCATCCGGTCTTAAAAAAAAAGAAAGAAAGAAAAAAAAAACGAATTTGACCCCTTTTTTCAAGGGTATCTGTAATTTTGGCCATACTGACGAGTCTACCTCCAGCAGTCGAACTCATCCTGGCCCTTTTTTCAAGGGTATCTGTGTAATTTTGGCGACACTGACGAGTCTATATCCTGTAGTCGAATTCATCCTGGCCAGACGGTAGGGGTTCATAGACCACCCCCAGAAAAGAGAAAAGGGTGACGGCGACATACTATTCATTGTCGGCGAAAGCCCAATTGACTAGTATGTTGCCGTCACCTTTTTCTCTTTTCTTCTTCTCGAGCATTGACTGTGGGTGTGATAAAGGGGGCGGTAATATCAAGCTCCTGTATCGCCCCCCAAAATGTTTTATGATGGCTCCACTCCGAGTCTGTTCGTGGGGAGCTGCACCTGCGGGAAACATTTTGGGGGTCCAGCGTCCCATGTTACGAAAACATTTTACGAAAACATTTTGGGGGTTCACTGGGATCCACAACAACAATATTTTGTAGCCCTGCTGTCGGACTGGCACCTGCTACGATCTTTCACGTGAATAACAACGTACGGTGATTATTGATGTATGTAGACTCAAAGTTGTTTCAAATACAGTGATAATGACTGTACGTTGTATTCGGGTTAAGATGGCAGCAGGTATCTTTCTGTCCACAAGATCTCCTTTTTCAGTGTGTGTGTCGCTGATGATCTGGGTATTTTTTCATTTCGTTTTTTCTTTTTTGAATATTTATGGGCGATTCCTCAATTTGTTGTGTGTCAGTCGTTCAGCCCTTCATTTCCTTCCTTCCTTTCCTGTGGAGCTTTTTCGTCGATGGCAGTCTGCTGCTTGTCCATCTGGCCCGTGGACTCTGCTTCATTTCCACATCTTCCTGTGGTTTGTGAGGGCGAACTTGCACTAGCACTACTGAAATGTACCTGACCGCATTTACAGCTGGACTTGTATGCATCTGGCCGCAATTCCGCCTGGAAACAAGTAAAAAAAAGGTGCAGTGTGAGTGTGCCCAGGGCCCCAGAGTCCGTTAAAAGTGTTTGACGTACTTGCTGCTCGTTCACTTTTTGACTCTTGGATTGAGATCTACAGACTCTCGAAAAACTAGTTTCTTCTTTTTTACCACATTGCCTACTTTATTACATCCATGCTCGGACCTGTGACGCTCAAACCTCACGCTCTGCGCTGCTTTCCTTCGGAGTGGGACTTAGATGCATATGGGCCCAGGAAAGCGCAAAAATTGACGTGTGCCAAGGATCTTAAGAAAAGAAGGTCGGGGTGGAGTCCTAGATCGGAACTGGAATCTCTTTTGTCAGTTGCAGTTATGAACACCACGGTGATTCAGCGGGACCCAAGGCTATGGACCTTTCACACGCTTACACATATTTGGAGGCGGCGTTAAACCGGAAATCAACGACGTATACAACTTCAAAAATCACAATGGCTTCTCTTCTGAGGGCGGAAAGGGGCAGGATTCTAAGCGGAATCTGTGCTCCGAGCGAGGGCTTGACGCCGTGTTTCACAGAGTTGGAATTGGAATCGGATGGGCGCCATCGCGTTGTCCTTTCCACTACCTTCTGATCTTTACGTGACACGTAGTCATACCCTCTCTCGGTCACACACTCGCTCCATCCGTAATCTGAACACAGCGTACTGGACCAATGAGGTGTGACCGCAGGCCACGGAATAATAGTGAGCTTGTTGAATGAGAGCAAAATCGAGAAAGGTGGGCGCAATCGCGTTGTCCTTTCCACTACCTTCTGATCTTCACCTGACATGTAGTCGTACCCTCTCTCAGTCAAAGGCTCGCTCCATCCGTAATCTGAACACAGCGTACTGGACCAATGAGGTGTGACCGCAGGCCACGGAATAATAGTGAGCTTATTGAATGAGAGCAAAATCGAGAAAGGAGGACAGACGACCTACAATTACAGTTTGAGAGCTAACAAAGGCAGAACTCTACCCATCTTCGGGTTAGTAATAAGGTTGGCAGATCTGCATCGTAGCTTCGCGTACGTCCCACCTGTGTGTCCGAACAACGGGCAACAGGGGGCGTTAAATTTTTGGACCCGTTGAATAGCCCCAGGGCCCCCGTTGAATCCCGTTTTACGGAAAAAGGGGGTGGCCTGTTGAATCCCCAAATCTGGGATGGGCGCGTTGGCCCTCGGACACATGGCCCTGCGCACCTGCGCACTCAACCCCCCCCCCTCCAAAAAAAAACAAAACAATCCCACCCTCATACCACTGAATAAGACCAACACCGACCGGCCTGGCACCCACCACTGACCAACCCCCTGACACAGTCCCCAAACCTACCCGGAAGTCCTCTAAACCACTACAAGCCCCAATCCCCCTTCCCCCACCCACCCCATCCTGCTGTTCCCCCCTCCCCCGTGCATTCCCCCTACCTTGCTATTACCGCTACACATCCCTCCCCCCCCAAGCACCCCTTCCATCCCTTACAGCCCCCAACACACACACGTCGCCCAACATCCCCACATGAAAAGAAAAAAAAAACAAGCATTCACACTGTCCCCAAAGCACCCCCCCCCAAAAAAATCCCCCGCCAGATCTCCCAACCCTCACCACCCCCGCGCGGGTGTGCTGTGTGCGCACGTATGTGTGTATGTGTGTACATGTGTGCCTGCGTGTGAGAGTGTGTATGTGCGTGGATATGTGGGTGTGCACATGTGTTTGTGTGTGCGTGTGCGTGATTGTTGGTGTGTGTTTATACGTGTGTGTGTGTGTGTGTGTGTGTGTGTGTGTGTGTTTACGTGTGTGTGTGTGTGTTTATGTGTGTGTGTGTTTGTGTGTGTTTGTGTGTGTTGTGTCCGTGTGTGTGTGTGTGTGTGTGTGTGTGTGTGTGTGTGTAACACTGCAACACAGCGTGTTATGGCACAAAAACTTTGCACCACCCATTCTCCAAAGCATGACTTGCTTCGGCATATCTGAGAGGGTTGGTAAAGGGTAGCATGGGTACTTCTTGACAACCGCTGTGCTATGCCAGACTCGTTCGAGACAGTATGCAGCCCATGGGACGTAGGTAGGAGGGTTCCCTTTACTTCTTCATACACAGGCATTCATAGGGCAAAATCATGTATCAATCAGAGAGGGCAAGTCGCTGCCGACTAGCGGCCATGGGTCAACATAATGCCCCCCGTGCTTAAGATGTGATCCGTTAGGGCGACCCCGTAGACCATCCCCAGCCCACACCTGTTCTTATGGGAGCATTTTGTATGCCCATGTTAAAAGCAGATGCATTAACCATAACAATAATAACAATAGTAAAGGCGAAAAAAGAAGAAAAGACAAACGGCAGAGAACGCGGTAAACCATTACTTTCCAACACCGGGACGGGGGCAAGTCCATGGCGGGGGAGGATCGTGGTATGCTCCGCCCCGTATTTATCAGCGGAGTTTTCTGCCATAGGGCTTGCACGGAATCATTCCCAGTTTGAAGGCAAACAATTGAAAGGAAAGACGGAAAAACAATCAACCACACTCCCCCAGGGGGGGGGAAAACTTAACAAAAGCCGGTTTTCTTTTTTTATAACGAAAAAATCGGCCTCGGCAGATACATCCGTGATGGTAGCTTTTTTGAGCGGACAAAAAACCAGGATTATTTTTAAGAACATATCCATCCCCCATTTTACCCCCGCCAGTGATCATATCTAGCCCTGTCAGGTTCATACAAGTGGCGATGCAGGCCATCCGGGATCGAGCGTCCCATACTCCATGCTTGTCATTCCATTCGTATGTGCCTACCCAACATCCAGAATTATCAATAATCGACGCACCAATTAAGAGATCATTCAATCGAACCAATGTAGGTTTGTGCCTTCGCGGCCGGGTGTAATCCCGACGATCCGGAAGGATGCAAAAGCGCTTATCCACCTCTATTGATTCCCGAGCCTCCTTTAATACGGAAATGTTACTGTGTTCGCAAGGGTGAGAAACGAGAAAAAAGACATGCATACATGCAAAAGCACACCATTGAAAAAATTCACAGGTTCGTACAAAAGCAGACTACCAAAAAGAGGTTCCCATGACCTCATCATAAAGTCAATCCATGACCGTGATGCTCATACATCCAGACCGTATCCAAGTCCAGGGAACGCGAGTCGACACCAAGCTCCAATGCGCGTAGCGGGCATGGGGATGAGCAGAGGGGAAAGGAAAAAGAGGGGGTTATGGAAAGTGCCGTGTTCTCAGGCAAAACAGCCGTGAATGTGCGCGAGTGCGTCATCCTCAAACACATGCAGGACGGGGTGGCAGACCCTGAAGCGCTTTTCGTCACTTGCCACGCGACTCATCAGAGGGGTAACGTGCACTCACAATCATTCCGGGAAAGTGAATGTGCTGGGTTTTGCGGGGGAAGTGTGGAGATGAAGATTAGGAAGGAGAGAAAGGCAAGCAGCGCTATGAGAAATACGAAGCAAAACGCAATAATATCCCATGTATCCGTCCGAGAACGCAAACTGTTCTCCAACTCCGCCGCTTTGCAAGAAGCTGAGGAAACCGTAGCCATGCCACCTCTCGCAGAATCCCATTTGTTCGAAGAGCACTGCGGCAACGGAGGGGAGGCAGGCGATGGTTCAGATGATAGGAAGGGGAGGCGGAGTGGGAAGGAGGAGAAGATTGAGACTGTAGGGGGGGAGGTTGAGGCACTGATTTCGACGGATGGCGGCATCTCCTCGAAAGGGGAGGCCGATAAGGAAGCACGATTATACCATGTCTTCGTCCTCCTGCTGTGCCTTAAGGAAGTCTGGGTCCAGTGGGAAGTCCATTCGAAGCAGCGTCTTGGGCACACCAATTCGAAGCAGCGTCTCCGGTATTCGCGGTGAACAGGCAGATGCGCTCACCAAGGATCACCTCACCAGGCACCTCGTACTCTATCAAGACGATGTTGCTCAATCTCGTATTCATTCGTGATGGTCTATTCCCTCCCTGTTGGCTATATATATTATTCAACCTGCGGCCCATCCCTTCTTCTGTGCCTGATCAATTCCTCAACACAACACCCCTTCCCTTGCCATATTTCGACTCGTCCGTACCTGGGTGGTCTTTCTCATACTATCCATTTAAACCGACCCCTTGGTTCGGATGGTGGCATCCCACGAAAAAGTAATGAAGTGGGGAAAAAATAGAGAAAAGGAAAAAAGAAAAACGGAAAAGAAAGAAAAAATAAAAGAAGGGAAAAAGCAAACAAGAAAAATTCGGTCTCAGTGGTTTTGCTTCCACGAAGTCCATAGGGGAAGCTAGTCTTTTCAGCCCGTTATCGCTTGATCGTGGTAGTGATTGCGGGGTCAAGAGCTTTGCAGATATCTGCTCAAGAGGCAGCACTCCAAGCGATATCCCTTCGTTTTGTGACTGAGATCTACCTTTGTATATTGCCGTTAATCCTGGCGCGGCCCTTATTTCGTCGTCACTCCCGAGACTGGAGCTAAGACGTAGGGAGGTCGCTGTCCGGAAGAAGCAAAAAATGCAAAAAAACGCACAACACAACAAAGGAGAAAAAAAAGGAAGAAAGAAAAAAAAAAAAAAAAAAAAAAAAAAAGAGAGAGAAAAAAAGAAAGAAAGAAAAAAAAAAGAAAGAAAAAAGAAAAAAGAAACAAGAAAAAACTTAACCGGTGGTTTTTCCCATGCACAGGCCCTTAGGGGAAGCTATTGTCCTCATCCCGTTCCCAACTTCCCACCATTACTGTGGCAGTGATAGCGGGTTCAAGGAAAGTTTTTTTGAGTTGAGACGCATGGTCCATTATTCAGGGGAAGTCCCTGTTTCGCTGACGCTTCTGTGACCTAGGCCAGGACATCGGGAGAACTTAGAAAAAAAGCAGTGGCCTTACAAGGGGATCAGATCCTGATCCCAGCCTGGCCGTTTTTTTGGGGATCGCCGGTTACTTGCTGTGGACCCGGATTCTTTTCGATGTAGCTGCACGCTGTGCGCTAAAAACAGAAGGGGAAAGGAAAAAACGAAAAAAAGAAAACAGAAAAAGGATTTCAAAGGGGAGAAGGAAAGGGGGAAGGAAAGAAAAAAGGAAAAACAGGAAAAACAGGAGGAAAACAAGAACAATGGATTAGCGCCCTGTCTTTTTCTCGGGGAAAAAAAACTCAGGGCGGGGTGTGTTTCAGTTCATTTCTGAAGCGGTCTTCCAGACCCCAGTGTGCAATCACAGCCGGATCTGCACGTATTCGACGTGAAACCCACGCCCATACCTGTGTGTGTGTGTGTGTGTGTGTGTGTGTGTGAAAAACAGGAATCAATCTTCCCGACCAAAGTGGGAAGATTCATTCCCGTTTTGCAAAGAGAGAAGCGAGCAGGTCTTCTTTCTGTGCAAAACGGGAATGAATCTTCCTGCTTTCATCATCGAAGGAGCGGAGAGAGAAACAGACTGGTAAGCCGTGAAGAACGCCACACTGCCTGTGCGTCCGGATGTTGGCGGATTACAGTCCGCGCTATACACACGACGACTGTCCACACTGTCTGTCGATACGGGAAGTTCCGGGGGGGGGGGGAGAGAGAGAGAGAGAGAGAGAGAGAGAGAGAGAGAGAGAGAGAGAGAGAGAGAGAGAGAGAGAGAGAGAATGGCGCACTATTAACCTGTGTGAAATTGTACCCAGTCCCGCAGACCTTCGCTCCCGGACCACAAAATTATGCTCATGCCTAGAAGCCGGGCTGGAAAAATTGTGAGTGTACCACACCCAATGGTTGGACTTGGATGGAGGACCACAAAATTATGCTCATGCCCCACCAACTGGACCTTTGTGGTGAATAGGAATTTCGCCCATCCACCTGAGTCCGGGTCTACCCATAACTTTGCGTGGGTATGTCCAGAATTTGTGCATTCCCGTAGTTGGTCATAACCTCAACTTTGCAGTGCCAACTTGGGTCCTCCTCAGTCCTGGACATGCTAATAATTTCAACGTCAAATTTTCGGGTATAGATGCAAGTTGGCGCTGCGACTGGGTATAGCTGGTATTCCCTTTTTCTTTTTTTTCGATCGGAGGGCATCAGCATGCCTCGGTCTCATAGGAGTTGTGTATGAGTGAGAGGAGAGTGCGCTTGGATGATCCAACCTTGCCGATAGTGCGTTCGGAAGCAGCTTCGTACTGATGTCCTTCTTCTCGCAGAGGTATAGTGGGCATCAGCGTACCTCGGGGCTCATTGGAGTTGTGCATGAGTGAGAGAAGAGTGTTTGGATGATTGAATCTTGTCCACAATGTGTTTGATGACTTGTTCTTTTGCATTCTACGAGGCGGGTCTTTTTTCCCCATAAACTAAACTAGATTTTTCTCTCAGTTTCACCTAACACTATCATAGTATTACAGGCTGCTCTTACCAGCACCCCTAGCATCCACTCGGGTTATTCAGAAAAAGAATAAATGCGACGCACGACAAGGAAAAAAAAAAAAAAAAAAAAACTGCCACCTGCCTGACTGAACTGCAGTTCCAAACTCCGCAGTGCGACTTTTCTGCAAAGCGGATCCAGGCTCTCCGGCCTGGTTCATACGACGGCTGCTTTTGAATTATACAAGCCGGAAAACGGGTCCGGCATCCCTCACATCATTGAAAAGGTTAAACAAAACGACCATATGAAAAAAATATGCAAAAACCCTAGTTATACGCAACGCCAGTAGCAAAATTGTCCATCCTCTGTTAAACACCAGACCCTGCGTATCCGCCCACCCTCCCGCGCGGCAGGGGTCTGGGTCGCCAGCCCCCCAACCGCAATCTCAGACCCCACAAAGACCCACCCACCCCCTCGCGATTTAGAGCGGATCGCACCACCACCGACATTCACCTACCAAAACCACCAACTCCCACCATGATGGTGATTTCGCTAACCTGCGGAATTACCCTACCACCCCCGCGGCAGGGGCCAAAGATCCCACAGAACCCACCCACCTCCTCGCGATTAACGGTACACCACTCCTCTCATCTGGATTTCACCTCACAATGGGATCTTCACCGCCCTCCATGATGAAGCTCCCGCGGTGCGACACTCTCCAATCCCACTCAAGAAAACAGGATGTCAGAAGAAAATCCCGACCACGTGTAACGAGACGGATACCAACTCAACAAGTTCACCCCCTGACAGTGTAGAAAAGCCCTACCAACCCCGCGGCAAGGGTCAAAGACCCTGCAAACCCACCCACCTCCTCGCGAATTAGGGCTAACCACTCCCTCAGTCTGTGCCAACCCCCTAAGAGACCCCACCGCCCACCATGACGAGGTCTGTGCGGGGCAGCACTCCCAAGCCCTCTCGAGCAACCAATAAAAGGTACCATATTAGCCCCAGCCAAAAGACAATCAACAAATGAGGAAAGCAACAGAAACCACACTCGAAACAAAACTCCAACATCAACGAAGCCAGAAAACAAACAGGACAAACTGGTATGAGAGATCAGGCGGGGGTTTCACGAGCGAAACCGACTAGCACTAAGGACCGGAGCGGCGTGGCCAGCCCGCACTCCCTGGCCCCGACGGCGATGGTGTTCGGCACCCTCGAGGGGGTCAACACCGCCGCTGCATGGAGTTCTATCCCTCGTGCACAATCTACCCGCCTGTGAGAAGAAGAACGGCGGAGGCGCGAGGTCTAGATGGCTCGTTGGTGACAAGCTTGTAAGAGAGCCTGCATTCCAGAGCGACACATACACGAGTGAAAGAGAAGCATAGCGACGTGGCACTGGCACAAAAGTTGACGACACCGTGGACTGTCCATACCCCTGGCCCTCGGGAGGCGATGATGATCGGCGCCCGCAGTGCACCCTGATCGCCTCTGTGTCGTCAGAACTGGTCTAAGTGCTCGGTTCAGCGCGCACGTCACCTGATGCGAATCGGCGCTTGCACTGCTGCTGTTGTGGACCGTGGAAGAAGGACCGGCTGTTCACCATCGCCACGTGGGTTGAGGGAGACGCGCCTTGGTACTGTGGCTGGCAAGACCACGGATCGCGCGGAGTGGTGGGAGACACGCTGGCTGTGGCCGGGACAGAGGGGTGTGACAGCCCGGGGAGGCTATCGCCAGGGGACGGATAGGGGTGAGGAGCCTGTGCATTGAGGGGCTCATCTGCTGGGCGAGAACACACGGCTGATGTGGGCTGCCGATTGCAGACTGTGACCAAACAGAATCCCGCTCGGGCGTCGATTGGCTGGTCTGGCGCATCTTGATGTACAGCCGACGTGGACAGCAGACCGCTTGCCAGGGCTTGAGGGAACCTCGCTTGGCTACTGTCACTGCCGGGAGTAGTGAGGAAGTGGCGGGCAAACCTGCTCAGCTCCTCTCGTGTTGACATCCGCCCCGCTGCCACGGGGCAAGACATCCGGCGAACGACGGGGTACACAAACGTCGCTCGCCAGGCCGATCGTAATCCAGCATCACTGCAAGGACGAAGTTGGTGAGACGGGTATTCCGGATCCAGTCACCCCCTTCCCTCTCCACGTCATCCTCTGCCCCGTCCCCAACCCGTCGCACCCTCCTTCTCCCTTGTTGTGACGAAGAATCCAGTAGCCCTCACCCCCTTCCTCCTCCCCTCATCCTGCACCCCGCCCTCGACCCCCTCGCCATCTCCTTCGCCCCTGTTCCCCGTGCTTCTTGTCTCCCTCCCCTTCTCCCCTTCCAGTTCTTTTTCCTGTCCCCCCCCCCCCCCCCACCTCCCCCAAAACAAAAAAATTCCGTCCGGCAGCGCCCGGACACCTTCACCTGGACTGCGCTGCTCTTTTCACAAGATAGGGCACCCTGCCCTCTCTCAGTTTGGGCGCCCTGCCATTGAAGGATCGCTCAACCCTTGCCTGCTCACTGCACAAGGCAGATTGTGGTGATCTGATAGGTTGGGCTGTGGACAACCTTGCATGCGTCATCACAGGTGCACCGCTGTCAATTACTGCAAGGAAGAAAGTGTATGACCCCGCCTGTTCACTGCG